CTTGAATATATATCTCTTAAATTTCTGTAAAATCTAAGAAAATGATGTGTTAAATTTTTTTTTGAAGAGCTTCTTTCAAAAGCAAATTTAATTCACAAGCTATATCATCCAATCCATTTTCATTTAAAAGTGTCATTCTGATCCTAAAGCTGGTACTTTTTTTAACTTCTAGTTATATGTGTGTGTATGTTATAATGTACATATGTATGTTACATATACATGTATACATATACATTTTTGAACAATGTTTGATTTCTCCTCTCAGGTGTGTACAGTCCTCACAAAGTTCCTACCACCAAGGCACCATACCCTCACCATAGTCTCTTGTGCTCTTCCTATCCTGTTTGAATACTCTCCTCCCCCCTCCCTTGCTGAAGGTCTCCAATTTATAGTTGCCTACTAATTTTGTCTTTTTTCTCCCAATCCCTTGTTCGGTTTCCCTATATTCCTCCTATAAGTAAAACCATCTGATAATTTTCTTTTTCCTCCTGACTTATTTCACTGAATATAATCTCTTCCAGCTCCACCCATGCTGCTGCATATGGCTTAAGTTTATCTTTTTTGATTGTTGAATAGTGTTCCACTGTGTATATATAACCACATCTTTTTTATCCAGTCATGTGTTTGGGGACATTTGGGTTGTTTCCAAGCTTAGCTATTGTAAATAGTGCTGCAATAAGCATAGGAGTGAAAGTTTCCTTTCAGATTAATCTGTTTATGTCCTTTGGTTAGATGTCTAGCTCCATTTTTAGTAGTTTAAGAGTACTCCACATAGTAAAGCTGGTACTTCTGAAACCTGTATCTCACTGATCGTGGTGTCAAGAATTATTTTGAATAACTAGCTAATGTTTAGAAAATGCAAAACTTTTTGGAAAAAATTTCCTTTTATCTTTTTGCCTACTAACTGAAAATTACCCCCATAAAATTGTGACTTGATTTCTTCTTAAGTATTTCCTTGGATTGAATTCTCTTGAGTGGATTTTCCACTTTGTTAAAAATTTCATGAATGTGGTTTTTCTCTGAAAATAGTTTCATGTATGGAATATTGTCAGACCACAACTGACGTTGGTCACTGAGTCCATGGATGAAGGGGAACTGCTGTCCTCTGAGCAGCACTGTGGTCACAGTGGCAGTGTATGTTAATGGAATGTGTGTCTGGCAATAGCAGACAGACGTCATTGCCTGCTGCATTCACTTGCTCAATCTGCTTAATGTTCCCGAGTTTCTCAAGTACACTTCCTCTGTTAAAGCCTTTGTACTGACTGTTTGCTCGTCTTGGAACACTGTTCACTTTCCCTCACTTCTCTCTTACATCACCTTCCCAGTAAGGATCAGCTTGTTTATCTCTCTTAAATAACAGCACTCATGCCCTCACTCCCCAACACCTATCCCCCCCATTTGACCATTTGCCACCTCTAACATGCACTGTGATTTGTTTTGTCTTTACTCTACTAGTAGAATATATTTCTGTAAGGTCAGCGATCTCTGTTGGAACTGTTTACTGCACTATTACAAATAGCTCAATTATCACCTGGCACATCACAGGCACCAATAAATATTTCTTCAAGAAAACAAGGCCAGAATTAGAGGCAAAGATGTAGCATGAGAGAGTTTATGCTTTTGACAGAATTATCAGCCGCTGTATGGACAATAATTTAAAAGGTCCTCCAGGTACTGGTGAGGTAGAAACATCCATGAGGAAACAGCGATTTTATTATCATTAGTGGTGAAGCCATGTGTTAAGAATGGTAGTGCTGGTATATTTACATAATGAAATATTACTCAGCAATCAAAAAGGATAAATGCATGCCCCTCACAGCAACATGGATGGAGCTGGAAGGAATTATGCTCAGAGACATAAGCCAGAAAGAAAAAGAAAAGTATCTAATGGTCTCATTTATAGGAGGAATGTAGAAAAAAACAAAAAAGGAATCAATAAAAAAAAAAGTAACTATAATAAAGTAAAAATCAAAATCATCAGGCAGCTATAGATCGGAGACATTTGGTAGGTGAGGAAGAGGGAGAAGGACCATTACCGGGGTAGAAAGAGCACAAAGGACTATGGTTATGGGTGAATTGGTGTTGGGAATTTCATGGGAAACCATACAGTGTGCAGAAATGTAGGATGATATAATGAATATATTTTTTAAAATAATTTTTTTTAAAAAGAATGGTAGTGCTGAAGGAGGTAAGAAGATAGGAGATGTCACATGTGAAATTTTATTTCATAAAACCTGGAGCTAAAAAATACCAGTGATACTTAATAATTACATCAGTAAATTGAGAAAGTCAACTAAGTACTTCAGACACAATACAAGTAATAATAGAGCCTTTGACAGGTACTTCTTCCACAGATACAGAAATCAGACTAACAATTTTAAATTGAAGATCTTAAAAATACAGAAATGCACTTGACTTTTCCATAACAATCTGTGAGAAAGATGAAAATATAGCTTCAGAGAATGTACATATGATGGTCAATTATTCTAAGTGCATCTGCGATATTTTTAGTGCATTTAAAATAGATTGACTTTTTAAATGTATGACTCTGTTGTTAAAATAATACCAAACAATTCTGTGTGCCTCTTGAAAATGAATCTCAAATATACTTATTTGATTTTGTTAAAATCCAGCAAACCTTTTATAAGGTGAGGATCTGAAATGGAACCAAAACCCACACATCATAGGATCCACTAAGCACCAGCAAACACAATGTCTCTGAGATGTTAGAAGCCAGGAAGACATTTACAGAGCAGATTTCTCCTCCTAAGCCTAAACATTAGCTATAACCCCAACAAGTTTTATTAACATAGCCTTTTGAAAAAAAAAAACAAAAAACAGAAATACAGATGGGCCATTCGAAGTAGATTCAGTGATAATGGCAAAAAGATAAATTCATGGTATCTGAGGGAGAAAAACAATTATGTGTATTTGTAAATATATATATACATATAAGCATATATATATTATGCTTTCAGTATATATATATATATATATGCATATATTTATATACTAAAAGCAAAAAATACTTTAAAGCCCTAACATTCCAGAGTTGTTCTTCCTGAACCATTCTATAGCTGCTTCTAAAAAGTACTGTTCCATTTGCCTGCTTAGCACAGTAGGCAGCATATCAGTCTCATAAAAAGCACTGCTCCATAACTGCACAAGACACCAAATCAAAGCGCCTAACTAAGACCCAGACAAAAATTATTCCTTTATGTTCTGCAGACTCAATTTCTAAAGGTGATGAAGTGTCTGATGCATTTTAGAACAATTTCTCTGAGAAATGATTAAAGTTCAAGTGGTCTTGGAATTTAGGTAACTTCAAACTTCAGTTGCAGAAAAAAAATAGTTAATTGTCACAGCTCATTCCTTAAAGATGCCAGAAAATGAATTTTTCTAGCATGTAGGCTTTCAAAGTTGTGTCTATATATGCTATCAAAAGATGAAACTCTGAATACTCAGGCAATTATGTTTACTGACTCTGCTAATTTTAAAACAGAAAATTCTCTCTCTCTCTAGGGCTTCCTATTTCTAACACGCCCAAAAAAAAAAAAAAAAAAAAAAAACTCATACTCAGTCTCCAGAGAGTGAACAGTGACAGACTGAAAATTGCAGATTAAAACCGCAAGTACACTCGCTGTGGGAAGTATTATAGGGTCAGTGGCCTTGCTACTTTAGGCACTACAAATATTTTGGCTCAAATCCAGCCTCACACTCTGTAATTAGAGAGAATTTTAGAAAGTCTGTTGTCTGTTTTATGAGCTTCTCACTGCAGTGCACTCACTGTGAGACACCGAGGTAGGAAGGCTGTAAAGACCTCAGCTGAGCCATGAGGACAGCTACTTGCAAATAACTAGTTTTACTTCCTCAAGTAGTATCTTTAGACCATAGCACAAAGCATAAGGGCATTTTAATAAAAAGTAAAATAGTAATAGTGGTTTTAAAAATCAGTTTTTAGCTCAAGTAGTATCTTTAGATCATAGCACATAGCACACAGGGCATTTTAATAAAAGTAAACTAGTAATGTGGTTTTAAAAATCAGTGTTCAGCTCAAGTAGTATCTTTAGACCACAGCACATAGCACACAGGGCATTTTAATAAAAATTAAACTAGTAATAGTGATTTTTAAAATCAGTTTTCAGCTCTAATGCAAGGATAAGAAAATGGTCCCTAAGAAAATGGTGCCTGTAGGTCCCACCACTATGTCATGATAACAGAGTCTATGTAGTTCAGCAGCTGGCTTTCTACCACCCATCTTCCCATCAAATATTATCCAGATGGCTTAGGGCTTAACTTCCTTAAGTACAACGGGTCCATTACAGGCTTTGGAAACAAGGCTTCTTGGATTCAAACCCTGACTTGACCACTGACTAAGTGAGCTCTATACAATAGTTAACTTCTCAGAGCTCCATTTCCTTACCCAAAAAATGGGAGCAAGTACAGTATCTGCCTTTTGGGGATGAGGTAAGGGTTGAAGGCATGACTCTGACTGGAAGTATCCCTTCTGATGAACTTTAATGAATCACCAATAAAACCCTTCATTTGAAATATCTGTTTTTATAATATAAAGGACCATCTCCTGGTCTTTCCATTAGAGTAGAAATGACCACATTTTAACTTACATTTGGCAGTCATTGTGAATACTCAAAATTTAAGTCGCCTATATTGCAATATTTTATACATGAATTCAGTATTTTTCTAAAAATTTTATAAGGGAGCATTTTCCCATCACAATGTCTTTTGTGTATTTCTAATTCTGAGGCTAAAGAAAACAAATCTAAACTACTGATTAATGTATAATGAACCCACTAAAAGACTGTAACAGTTTTTAGGCCATGATATGAAATTGGAAAAGTATTTGAGTAAGCATAAATACATGTACTGGCTTTATATATTGAGGAAATATGAAATGTGGTTGTATGGGTTATTTCTCTTTTATTAAGAACTCTAAGATAATTAACACATTTGTTTGAAATGTTGCTTTTTTTTTCCCACAGCTCTTATAGTGAGATTTCTGACCAGACGGTTCATCTGGGAATATGACCCCACACTTGGTAGGTTCAATTTTGTTTTCTCTTCTCCAGTTAATATTTATGACCCAAAAGTGAAAATGACATTTTCTCTTGCAACATTTTAAACTATTTTGCAATGTCTTTGGAAGTGCACTGTCTAATCATGCAAAAAAGCTAGGTCTGTGTTTCTGTCTGTCTGACCTTAAACCCCTCCAGAATTTTAATGCAGTGGTGAAGAAATTAGTACAACCCAGGGACAAAGAAGAAGTGATTAGAATATGTATTCTTCCACCAAGAAAATGTAGCATTTCCTTAATGGGAGAAAGAAGAGACAGTGGGCATGGCTAACTTTGTGTGGGGTTGGACAAAATGCTGAAGAGAATATTAACAGTAAATTTAAATCTTTCAACACTGATTTTGGAAAGCACAAAAATAAACTATGCTTCTACCCTTCTTCTATCCAATGAATCTTGATTAAAGTCAGTTTTAAAAAGTTGTATGAAAGAAGCAAAAATTATATCCATGGATCTTGAAAGTTGTATAGTGGTGATGTATGAAGAATCCATCACTTTTTTTTTTTTTAAACAAAACATCATACTAGAAATCTATATAGCTATCCTCTCTAAAATAATGTGACAAATACATGGGATCTAATTTAAGCATCAGGTTTTACTTTAAATTAAGCCCTTGATTTATGTTTGCTATGCTTCAGATGCCCAGTTATTTTTGTAAAGGGAAATAACTTGAAAACCCAGAAGAAAAGGGAATGACATGCACCATTTCATTATCAGGCCTGGTGCTCCAGGCCAAACTGCCCATGCTCACAGTACTAAGATGGGCAAAGAGGCTTTAATTTTGATATATCACTAGATGGTTCTATTGAAAAGGGAGCTTTCTTTTCCCCTATTACTCCTTTTATTTATTTATTTTAAAGATTTATTTATTTATTCATATAGAACAGGGGTACAGGCCAGAGATGCAGAGGGTGAGAGGATTCACCAGAGACAGAGCAGGGAGCAGAACAGGCAGATCGATGAAGTACACTGCTGAGGGGAGCAGCGGGTGGATCAGGAGAGGTCTGCCACGCCATGTGGACCCCTCCAGGGCCGGCAGGAATCGAACTCATGCGGAAGTGGCTTAAGCTTCTCAGTGCTGTGCTTTAACCCGCTGCGACACCAGGGAGGGCCACTTTTTGTTTATTTATTACTTTTTTACTCAACAAATATTGTCTAAATGCCTTCTATTTATCGGATTACTTCAGGTCCTAAGGACAAATTAACAGGTGAAAAGAGAAAGGCTCTGTTTGGGGGTGGGTCAGGGTGGGAGGTGGGAGTACAGCCTAGTCAAGAGAAGAGTCATGTGTCAGTGATAAGTTTAAGGAAGAAAATGAACAGGAAAGGGAATAGAGTGGTCTGTACTTTGTTGAATTTTTAACTTTTTAATCTATCTGGAACTCATTTTATTGAAAAGTACAAGATAAAGACCCAACATTTTCTCCAAATAGTTGAATAACTGCCATCTTATTATTAAATAGTGTACCAATTCTCAACTGTATCCATGCTGCTTTCTTAAATGTACTGATCACTTACACCACATCCAACACCTGGACCACACTCCCATGCTAACTGTATGCTTCAGAGAACATTCTAAAAGACAGTAGAAAAAGTTTTCAGTCTCTACTCTTTTAAAAAATTAGATGAGCCGCTTCCTCCAATTTATTGTGTCACATTAATTTTAGAAGCTCTATCATAATGACATGATTTTGATTGAAACTTCAGTAAAACTATAAATTACTTTGGGAAGATTCCCATTTTTTGTGATATTCTATCTTTTTATCTCAGAGACTAGCATGTCCCTGCATTTATTAATCTTTACTTCTCCATTTTATTTGTTTTTCAATATCAGTATTTTAAATAAGCTCTTAATATGGCCACAACCCAATCTTCTTTTTAATTTTTATTTATTTATGCATAGAAGAACTGAGGTGTAGGCCAGAGGTGTGATGGGTGAGAAGATTTACCAGAGACAGAGTGGACAGCAGATCTGATGAAATACACTAATGAGGGGAGAGACAGGAGAGGTCTGCTGAGCCATACCACTGTCAGTCCCTGGCTGGGGATGGAACTCAGGCCTCAGTGATGATGTGATAGTGCTGAAACTTGACCCTTACACCACCAGGGAGGCCCCACAGTCCGAATTTAAAATGATATATTTGGATCTGAAAATGCACCTGATTTTAAAATTAAAATCATTATCTATTATTTGTCACAGCTAAGTAAATACTTATGCTTCTCTTAAATTTTTATGACTTGTGTGAACTTTACAAAGATTATGATTCCTAAGGATCTTAGAGATTTATAGGCATTCAGGAAAAAAAAAAACACTCTACTACATCTCAAAGAGTGATAAAGCTTATTAAAAAATGATCTCAAAAAATTTTAACTATCTCTGAATAGGTTACAGTAACTAATGTTGCTATTTTTAATTAATCTTAGGTGAACCATTTTCTCTTTTGCTTTATTCATTTTTTAAAACAACTATATTAATAAGAACCTGCCTGCATCAGTTTTCCATAATGCAGAATTCCTTCACTAAGAATAATGAAATTAGCGACCTTGTGTGGTATTCCTCATAAAGGATTGCAAGTAGTTGCTAAGCAACGAGAGCTTTCTCCTGACTTCATGAGTATCAGACACACAATGCACTCTGGGTGAAAGTGGATGTGTATAACTGTGCAGGTGTGGACAAGTGGAAGAAGTCACTAATTTCTAGCCTGAAGAGTTCCCAATCCTTTTGCTCTAAGAGGAGTCAGCATTTCCTGGACTCGACTTTTATCTGACCATAGAGTTTCAAAACCACCAGCAAAAGAGAAAGTTACCTGAAAAAGTAAAGTGGTAGCCCCCCCTGGTGGCGCAGCGGTTTAAAGCACAGCACTAAGAAGTTAAAGTCACTTAGCAGGAGTTCCATCCCCAGCCCCAGAGGTGACCCACATGGCGCAGCAGACCTTTCCTGACCTGCCTGCTGCTCCCCTCAGCAGTGTACTTTGTCGATCTGCCTGTTTTGTTCCCCATTCTGCCTCTGGTGGATCCTCTCGTGGCCCCTACAACCTCTGGCCTGTACCCCAGTTCTGTAAGCATCAATAAATCTTAAAAAAAAAAAAAAGTGGTAAGTTTGCAAAAAAGCAGTCCTGAATTGTACATTCAGAACCTTCCTCAGAAAGGTGGGGCAGTTTTTTCAACTTATCACAGAATGATGGTTCCTGAGAAACTAAATACTATGAACATTGGTCAACATATTAACAAAATTGGAGTGTTTAGTGCTCTGAAATAGTTCTGCAAAAACATGTTCAAGGACCCTCCCTGGTGGTGCAGCAGGTTAAAGTACAGCACTAAGAAGCTAAAGCCACTTCAGCTTTGGCCTGTTCTGCTCCCCACACTGTCTCTAGTGAATCCTCTCACTGTCCCTGCACCTCTGGCCTGTACCCCAGTTCTGTAAGCATAAGTAAAACTAATCTTTAAAAAACAAAATGCTCACTACTTTAGTAGTAAGAGACTCTCAAACATACAGATTTCAAAACCCAGTATTTTGTTTTTGATTGACTTTACTTTTATGGACAGGGGCTACCACTGCAATTCCAAACAGGAATGCAAGCAAGGGGCAGGGGGTAGGGAGAATTCAATCTACCCTTTACTTATATTTGCATTTCATAGAAGAAGGAAGCATTTTTAATATCCTAGAGTTTTTGATGAATATAATCTAAGAATAACATTCTGCCTTTTACACTGAGCAGTTTTAGTTTTCCTTAAATTTTTCTTATTTCACAGTGTGGACCAGTGAAATCTTTGTCAAAGGTTAGCAAATATCTATGAATAGCATGAGAAAACTACTGCTGCAGACTTTAAGATTTGGTACATGGACCATCTAACCAGGAAAACCTGTAGAGTGGTGAAAGGAATGTTCTGGTTGTAAAACAACAGGAGCCATGTTCTGACTCCATCCCCCAAAGGACTGTATTTCTGTCTCTGGCAGTCTTACTACTCCTGAAAATGAGGATTGTGGCAGACAACACAAAAGAAGGGAAGGAGGGAGGAAGGGACGGAAGGAGGGAAGGAGAGAGAAAGGGAAGGGGGGAAGGAGAGAGGGAGGAAGGGGGAGGGAGGGAGGAAGGGAGGGCGAGAGAGAAAGAGAGAGAGAATGAATCACTGGGGAAAAGACAGAAGCAGTATTTCAAATGTTCACCACTACTTCTAAAAAGCAGGCACCCCACTGTGTGTGAGAGCAGATTCCAATGTCTCTGTCTGCCTAGGAAAGGCTCAGACAGCAGTGAGGGTGGGAACCCAGAGACCCCACTGGCACTGTGTTTTTACTGTCTGTCCAACCTGCACTGCACTTCCCTCTCCTTGGGAAGGCTCATACAAAGAGACAGGCACCCTAAACAAATTCTCTCCACTGGACAGTAAAGCAGAATGCTTAGCCAACTCATAGGACTATTTGATACCAGCACAGTAAGGAACTTGGAGTCGGCATTTGACAAATAAGGAAACAAGTTCATAGAGTAAATTTATCCAAGAGCACATGGTTTGTGGTAAGACCAGCAATAGAACTCAAGTTAGTACAATTTCCACTCTACCATAAATCAGCACTATTAACTGCTATTGCTATTGTACTGACCAAATATTCTTAATATGTGGAAATTTATAAAAACAAGCTAAATCAGTCAAGGGATTAACCAGATACAGTACGCCTTTGAGCATCAAATTCTCATAGTTTACACAAAATTTACTTCTATTTATGGAAATAGAAGTGTACTATGGTAGCTTAAATCATATAGGTCTCAAACAGTGAAATTCAGATACAATTTTGAAGTTGTCTTATTTCACCTGGAAACAATATTGGTCTTTTGGCACACATTTGGTTCATTTATGAGCAACTTCTAAGCAATTATCCTCCTACCCTTCAAAAAAGCTTATCACTTTATATTAATATGAACAGGTAAATAGTGTGTCCATTCTCCAAATACATACATATTGTCTCTTAAGTTT